GGACCCCCTTTCAGAAACGAGGGTTGGGGTGTCTGTCGTCTAGGGAACGCCGGACCCCTTTTGTGAAACGACGGTCGGGGGTCGGGCGTTCTGGGTACGCCGGACCTCCTTTCAAAAACGATGGTGGGGAGACGAGGGTCTGAGAATCGGTCGTTTTGGAGATGTCGGACCCCCTAGGTGCGCGGAGGGTGGGAGGTCGGAGGTCGGGCATTTCCAGAACGTCCGACCCCCGCGGTTGTGGAGATGGGGGTCTGTCGTTTGGAGAAGGGAGGATCCACGATCCTTGACGACGCGAGGGGGGGGGCGTCGGCTCCTCGCGCGAAGTGCTTTTGTTTGTTCCTCATGTTTTCTTTGCTTGTGCGTTTCCTTTGTTTGTACCCTCTAGGTCAACCTGCTGCTTCGACCTCTCGGGCATACAGCAGGTCAAAGATCTACAACAACAAACCATGGGCTCTAGACTGGGTTGGTGGTCTGCATAAGCCTGGGTGTGGGGCCGTCGTCTTCTTGAGCGACGACAATGGTGCGACGTGGTACTGCTGTGGGGGTGTTGAGAAATCTGAGAGCGCCAGGAATACCTACGACGGGAGGTCGTTCAGGACCTTCTTTCTTACGTCAGTTTTCGACAAGGATGGGACAAATTGGGTCAAGGAAGACAAGAAGGTCGGCCTTGACTTGCGGCTCTTTCAAGGCTACGACGTCAAGGCTTTCTCCATGAAAGCGTTTGACGTGCGCGGGGACGGCGCCGAGCTTCACATGCTCACTGCGGAACAATTCCTCAGTAGAACGAACGGCTACCGCGTCACTGGCTGCCTTCCTGTCGTTGACAGTTCCTTGGAGCTCACCAAACCCTTGGTGAAATTCAGCAGCCCGGCGGACCAACTACCAGGTGTTGTTAAGGAGTACAGGGAAGCCTTCTCGAGGCTGCCTCTGGACCAGCTGACTGCGCTTTCGTGCCCTTTGTCACGAGCTCGAGGAAATCGCGACAGACGTCATCCGCACCGGTTGGGAAGAGGAAACAGTTGGTTGCTTGTCCAGCTCCGCCTTTGCCAGCCACGTCGCCCTCGCCCTTGCCCGCGGTGAGGGGAGGTCACGATCTCGCTCAATGTTCCAGCGAGGCTACGCAGTACGATGACAGACTTATGTGCGGACGCAATGCTGCGCGCGACAGTGTCCAGGAAGGTGCGACTGCCCTGATTGAGCGAAATGAGGATGAAGAAGATGGGGGAAGCTGCGGTTATGGCGGTGATGACGAGTACATGGACGTTGGGGATGAGAACATGCAGGACCAGAACATGCTTGGCGATGACGACGTCGGTGTCACGTCGGAGCATGGCCCTGGCGACATCCCCGTCGGTTCTGTGGGAGCCGCGGTTGGTCGGCCCTTGTCGTCCCCTGCGATATGGCATTCGCAAGGCGGGAGTCAGGGTGGGCATGACTCGCAGGAGCACGGAGGATCAAAGTCGAGGAAAAGGACAAGAGAAACTTCTCCTTCTGCTTCCGCTCACAAGAGACAATCGAGGACTGACGTTGTTAATGAGGCTCGTGGAGCTTTGATAGCATCCCAGGAGGCGAGACCTCCTCGGAAGAGCAGCCAGGGGGGGAGATCTGGCGGTCATGGCGGCGGCCGTGGTGGAGCAAGAAAAGGTAAGCAGGTAGTGAGGGCAAAAGAACTGCAGGACTCGGGGGATGAGGGCGAGGGAGTGGGCCCTCGCATGCCCGACGATGGTGATGAACCGCTTCAGCACGCTGCGCCCATCGACATGATGCGTTGTTTCTTCCTCGAGTACGACGAGCGGGGTTTTGCTAAGCAAAAAGTCTTTCCTGTTCTTGTGGACGTCATGAAAATCAAACGCATTCCCTGCGGGAATATTCTTTTCAACCACCGCTCTTTGTCTGCGAACATTGTGCGAGGCATCGAGAATGCCATCGAGAGTTCCATCACCACGGAACCGAGGGCGTGGGATAGGCCTGAGCTCGTGCTTGCGCCGGTTGACCGCAACGAAATCGTCGGCAGGCAGGGAAGGCGGATAACACCGACCGAATTCTTCGAAAAAGACTCCTCGGAGTTCGATTGGTATGCAGTCTGTGGTCAGCATACGGTCGAGGCGATGAAGACATTGGTGAAAAAGGGCTCTCCGACAGTCGACGTCTATGGTCTTCGCACGTACTCTAAGGTGCGGGTCGTCTATTTTGGAGATGACCAGACACGAGGGTATTTCAATGTCTCCGCCTTCGACAACACGCGCGAAAATCGGGCCATGATGTTGTCGATGTTGTCTGTGATATGAGGCAATGGTGGATCGATAACCACCGAATCGAGGCCCCGAAAGGCAAGGTCAGCGATAAGGATGAGGTCGCCGTTGCGCACCAAAAGAAGTGCCAGAATTTCTTAAGGGCCTCCATGGGGAAGGCATGCGACAAAGCGTTCGTGAAGCAAACGCTCGAGAATGAGTACAGTAAGGATTGGAGTAATAAACTTCGTGGCTACATGAACCTCGCCACATCCACCGAGGCTGTGTGGCCACTGGTCGAGAGGTTCTTCGAGATGTTCAACAAGGGGAAGCCAGTTGGCGATGGTAAAATACCGCTTGACATGCCAGGTAGGATGGAGGGGCGCCAGCCAGGCCCGTACACCGACGAGACGAAGGGGCAAAGGACATTATTTTGGGGATTTGACGTGCCGCGAGAGGGAAGTTGCACTGCTCCTACTCATGAAAGGGAAGGTGGTCGCGACGAACGTTAAGGTCATGCCTCCGAGAGTGAATACGGAGTGCCTCCTCGACATCATGCGCAAGGAACGCTACATGGTCCGTATGTTCAACTACGTTGTTTTCCGCGCCGAGGGAAGGGCGGACGATGAATGGAATGATGCCTTCTTCATGTCATACAAGGACCTCGAAGACAAGTATGGCCCGAACGGTCTGTGCGCAGCTGAATGGGAGAAGGAACGGGACAAGCTGCATGTCAGCAAAGTGAAGACGGTCCCTCGACGGCTTGGAGGGGTGGAGGAGGCAAGGCAAGGATCTGGTTTGGGCCCTACGGCGGCAATGTATAAGGAGGCTCCGTTCCACTTTAAGGTGTTTTTATACACCTCAATCGATAAGCTCGATCTGCTTCGAGCGGAGGTCAAATGGGTCGCCTCCAGCGCACGTCATATCGTGTGGGATAAACTTAAAAAATAAACAACATTGCTACAGGTGTGCATGCCATTGAAGGAAGTGCTGGCTGCGCCAGACGACATCGTCGCTGCGGCGCAAAAAATTACATGCAGGGCTATCATCCTTGACATCTCCCCCGCCAACTTTTGCACCTCATGGACCTCTCAAGAGTTCGACGCTCTGCACTCTATGATGACTAAGTGTTGTGGCGTTAATTGGGTTCTTTTTGTCTTCGCACCGCAGAAGGTGCAAAGTGACGTTCTGCGATGCTTATTCCGGTGGGAGGACATCGAACTCATCCTCGGGACCTGGAAAAGGGTGGACAGGTCATCGAATGACATCACGAAGTATGACAATATCGCTACGGCAAGTCGAGACATGATTGCCATTGTCCTGCACGTGGAGGGAGGGGATCTCAGAAAGGTCACGATCGCACCCCACCTTAGCAATGACCTCACAAACGTGCATGTTGTGGAGGAGAAGTTTGGGAAGTATCTGGGGAAACACGGTGGCATAGAGGGCGATGAAAGTGTGGTGTATTCCATATGGGAGCGAGAGCCTGGCAAGTTGCGTCCGTTGTGCGGGTCGTTCGTCGGGGAGGCGGAAGGTGTGCTTTTATTGGGTAGGGCGCACGCGGGTCTTGTGTGGGAATTCTTACTGGCAGGGAATAATGTCATTGCCTGTAACGAGTTGGTGAAGGACATTGCATATTTGACAAAGTTCATCGCTATACTTGTCAAGGACGACAGATTCAACTGCCACGTCGAGAAACCGCGTTGCAAACATCGCCCGAACAGGGACATGTTCCACAAGTTGGGGCGTAAGAGACTGAAGGTGTGGGAGTACCTGTTCCGCGATATGCCACAAGGACGGCTTGACGGGAAATATATATACAGGAAAGCAAAGGCAACAGAGACCCTCAAACATTATCACGGTGCTATCACTGGCGCCTTTGAGACTTTTGTTGCTCGATGCGAGATCCTCAAGTTCGATCTTCGCAAAGACTAATTGACGTCCAAGGACTACGCGGAGCTCGCAAAATCGGGCGATGGTTTTAACCCCGTCGACAGCGAGGAAGATTCTTCGGACTCCGACCTCGAACTGGGCAAGGACACATGTGCTGAGGTTCCGCGCGTTGGATTGGTGCAAGCTCACGATGACAGAACTGTCCATTCACATGGAGGGTCCATCCCGATGGCCGCCCCAAGCGTCGCCTCAATGGTGGCCCCGTCGGAGACTGCTGCATTGCAAGACATTGGAAGATGTGGTGACAATGAAGAAGACGACATTGAGATACCAGGTGAGGCGTCGACGCTCGCACTAGGCGGTGCAATTCCTCCAGCCTACTGTGCTGACCCGGACACGATATATTTCTTGGAGGGCAAACACACCCACACAGGCGAGGATCAGTGGGGTCATGACATCATATGGCATGAGGGCGTTTTACAGTCGTGCATCTAAGATGGGGAGTGGAAGATGGCGGTGAAATACACAAGCGGTTGGAAGACTTTTCGCCGGATGTCAAAGGACATCTGGTTGAAAACGACGGAACTCGTGATCCTGCATCGCGTGCGCGTCGAGAATCCAGGGCAGAGCGAGGCCTCCATCAAAGCCAAGGTCGAAAAATTGTTTCATGTCTTGCACGACAATCGGCAACTGGAGTACAACAACAAATTTTATGCCCTGCGCTCGAGTCCCTCACGCATGTCAATCAACTGGAAGGTTGATCAAACCGCCAGAACCTTGGAGGGGAGCTGCTCTCATGATTTCATGCCTTCGGCTGAGCCAGCCTCCGTGGCCGCGCAAGCAGGGCATAGGGGAGATGACGGGACTACTGTTGTCGGGCCTCAAGAGGTTGACATCACGTCTAAGCCGCAAATATCGGAAAAATCCATCTCGGTCGCCGCGGCACAATCGTCCCCACCCATCGATGTGTCAACGACGTTGCCTTCGGATGCAGGTGCCACGTACGGGAGTTTATTGATAACAAATGCTGCAATGCAAGGCAGATCCAAGATCGAGTCAGAGTCTGATGTTTGGCCGAGCGTGGCGGAGAGTCAGCTGCAACCGTCTTTATGCACTGGCAAAGGTGATGCACAATCACCGCTGACACCACAGGGAGGGGCCGGTGGGGATGGCGGGAAGGGAGGGGATGTGGAGAGAATGCACCGTTCTCGCAACCTCGACACCTTAACCGCTGATATTGATTAAAAGGGTGAGGGTGGGTGAGGCGGGAGGGGTGCAATTGGAGGGGGAGAATCCAGTGATATGATTACAACTTCACCTCTGCCTTGTTGAACGAAATTGTGTAATTGACTTGGTTCATTGTTTTGTTTAAAACAGAATTCGTATTAGTCTCTGTGGGCACCACTTCTACATCGTTTTTCCATTGATGGTTTTTGTTTTTTTTTTCACCTCAAATTTTTAATAGACCTGAGATGTTTAGATTGACTACCCGTCTCGACGTGCAGTAACAAATCATGGTGGGAGCGTATGTGTGGTATTGTACATCTCTCTCTCTCTCTCTCTCTCTCTCTCTCTCTCTCTCTCTCTCTCTCTCTCTCTCTCTCGTTCGTTGCGACATGGACGTGTGTGTGCGGACGTAATGTATAAGGGTGGTCGATCGATGCGAGGAATGAATGACTGCATATGTGAATGACGTTTATACAAGTAAAATATTAGAGAAATAATGAAAACATGCCTTGCATGCATCAGCTCTCACAAAGCGTTTGGCCATGCACTCACAATACTTGCCCCGTCCGCCCGCGTGAATGTCCTCTTCCTCATTGTCTATGGTGTGCAGCATAAATGCCAACAACGGATACAAGATTGTATAAAAGAGGATGGACAATGCATCTCGCAACTTCGTCTTTATCGGAGAGGGAGATGGCAGTACTAGCGCATATCATTCGCGAATACGGGAATAGGTATCCCGTTGTCAGCACACAAGATGCGCACAATAACGAAGTGTTGCAACTCACTCGCAATGATTTTCTTTTACTCGTCGTCGAAGAACAGTGGTTAAACGACAACGTGATCAACTTTTATCTCAACCTCGTAGCATTAGACAACTGTTGTAGAATACAACACGTAGAATGCGACGCGGATAATGAGATAGTCATTAGAGAAGGAAACGGTCGCATTCCCAGAGTATTGGTGCTGAGCTCATTTTTTTTCATCAAACTTTTCGATAATGACATGAGATGTAGAGGCCGAGAGGTAGAACGCTGGTACGAGGATGTAATTATAAGTGACATGAATTTGATTATTGCTCCTCTCCATATCGCACACCAGGACCACTGGACCTTGGTTGTGGCTGACTTGAGGAGGAGGAAATTCGAATTCTACGACCCCCTCGGCCCCGACAAGGAGTTCGCGTTAAAAGTGACCGACGGGTTTGCAAAGTTTTAATTCGAAAGATCGAAATCGCAAGGCAAAGAGGTGGACACGAGACCATTCAATCACATATGGAATGTAGAGGGCATTCCAAAGCAACATGACACGAACGAATGTGGGGTCTTTGTACTCACGTACGCGTCACTTTTGGCACGGGGCCAACTTCCGCCTTTCTGTTTCACCGCAGATGACATACCCGCGATACGTCGTCGGATGGCATTGGACACAGTGGCTCGTGAGTAGTGTGTACGTGATATTATATAGTATGATTGCGAAGGAGGCGGACGTGGTTGGCACGAGATGATGCTTGACAAAAAGCAATGAATATAAGGTGTTAATTATTCCTCGGTGCACTGTGTCACTTGCCCCTTGCATGGTACCTTACACCTTATACCTTACCCCATACACCTTACACCTTACCCCCCTACACCTTACACCTTACACCTTACACCTTACCCATTACACCTTACCCCTTGCACCATACCCCTTATACCTTATCCCTTATACCTTACCCCTTTGTAATGGTTTTTGCACTTCAATCATCTCAAAAATGGTTTTTGCACTTCAATCATCTCAAAAATGACAATTTCAATTTCGTTCAAAAAATATAAAATGTCCGTTTTGACGAAATCGCTGTTTATTCGTTTTTTTGTTTTTTAGAGTTTTCATGGTTGGACCTTATAGTCCGTAGCAGCCGTCAAAGTCAAACCCCTTGACTTTTGCCCAGACCTGGAGTAGGACTTACCTCCAGGGCCGCAAGAAACGACTGCCACCACAGGTATGGACCTGTGTACCACCCACTCTGCATAAGGTGCAGAAGAGGGTGTGTGGTCTTCAATCGCGCATGGCGGTTGTCCGGCGTCGAGAGATTAACCCTCAAGGCGCGTGTCACCCGACGCTTGAGTGGCGACCCTCGAGACTAACGGGGGCCGTGCGAGCATGGGTACTACATGGTACGCCATCATTGCGACTGCTTGCGTATGTTGCATTGCTAGTCGATATGAGTAGGCCCTGCGTCCGCGCAGTTTTATACCAAGTCTCGCGTGCGACGCCTATCCGATTTCCGCAGTGGAAAGTTATGGGATGGCCACTGAAGGGGCTAGGAGCGTTGTCGCGTTGTTTGTGTGTGTCGTTCCGTGTGTATGTGTGTGCGTCATTTTTGTGTGTTCATAGAGTGGTGTGCACGTGGTGTGTGGGATGCGTCCTAGTCGACCGACGACGAGCCGCGCTTGGGACTTCAGCCCCCCAAGATGTCGGTTCGCGTGCGGGTCCAATAGGCGTATTACCGCGCGTGCCCCCTATGCTACAACGAACGAGAAACGCCCTCGGCTGGTCCACCTCTGCGATTGCAACCGAGTAGCTTTCGTACTGTGGACTGGAAGCTCGGCGGGGATACCCCCATCAAAGGGAGGTGACAGCTCCCGTAAGGTGGAGGTAAGTTGTGCCTCGCGTAGGCCCTATCCTGTCGTAGGGGCTCGCGAGAGGTATGGCTGGCGCACTCGGTCGGAGCGGCCTCAGGAAGCTCCATTTGTGTGTTCGTGTCGAGGTTGGTCCAACTCCTGCGTGACGTGGTCGAGAGGGTCTCACGCTGCCACGTGCGGTGCCGCACCGATGCGCCCGACACCATAATCGGTCCATCCTTCCCAGCTTAGGACCCCTCGTCGCTACTGCGCAGAAAATCGCGCGGTGCAGAAATCGGTTCGTCACATATGTGACGCCCAGGGGGTTCCAATCTTAAGCAAGCTCCTGCTTGCTTGAATCTTCACACGTGTCGATCTTCTCTAATCGACTGACGCGCGGAGCTTTCTGCATGGCCACTTACCGTGTGAAAGAGTGTGGACGTCATCCAACGTGGCTTGCAAGCTCTGTCCTACAAATTCCTCAGGGAGGCTCTCATCAATCCAAGGAGGGGATTATTTGTGTCATCGCCGTGACACGCACACCAATCTACCGATCACCGATCATCAGTGTCCACCAGGAAGGGGGAAGGGGAGATGGTACATGGGAGCATGGCGAGGGGGAGGGTTAATCAGGAGCGGGGATAAGAATCGTTCCACCTGGGCTACTGTTTCCGGGAGCTCCTGGTAATGAACGATCCGGTGGAAATGGGGGAAGCGATTACCAGTGTGCGGGAGGGAGGCGAGGTAATCGGGATACAGGGTGGTAAAGGTGCGGAAGAGTGCCGCACGAAAATGGTCGTGGTTTTCGCACGCGGGGATAGTCCCCGTAATCATGCAATAAACCTCGATCATATTGTGGCCTCGCCACGTGGTACTAAAGAGAAGGGTGTGGAGGCAGAAATTAGGGAGGGCGCATCAGGTCGAGGGATGGGGGTGGACGCCGAGAGGAAGAGGGAGCTGAGGTTGATGGACGTGGATTTGCAGTTTTCTTTATCTTCCCGCCCCCCCCTCCTTGCTTTTGTATATAAATTTTTATCTCGGCTCAGGGCGATTCGCCCGTTTTCTTTTGTTTTCGGAATCTTGGCTTGGTTTCCGCCCACACTCGTTTTGCGATTGATCTCGATTCCATTTGTTGCGTGTTTTAATGAATGGATGAATGAAGTTCATGTCTGTTGCGTGTTGTTTTGCCTGATGCTTAACTTTGTTTGTCATTTTGATACACTCATGAGCATGGTAGGAATTTTTGCGTAGTTATCAATACTGCTTCTATTGTTGTTTATCCCCTTTTGAGTTATTGTTGTTGCTGCACCTTGCATGATCAGGAACGATTGCGTACGGGATCCCGGAATGATTATATGACTGGGTAGTGTTCGTCCAGAGACAAGCGAGTACCGCATGGGGATGCGTGTAAGCACGAACGGATCTGTGCAGCCTACACGCATCCGCGCACGCCGATTCGCGGCCATTGGCGAACTTGACACCTTCGATATCGGATAGGTGGGAACTTTCCTTTCCCCCATGCGCCTAAACGGATAGGAGTTTCCGATATCACATTGAAAAATCCCCTTGCCAATTAGACGTGTGCGGGAGGATTCGATCATACCACAATGACAAGATGACGAACTCGAGGGACTCAGATTCATCGTGGGATTCGGAGTATTTCAACCCTTGGGTGAGAGAGTGTCTCAGACAGAGACGCCCGAAGTTTCCCTGCCTAACCGAAAATCGATTGTGCCCTCGGGAGTTTCATTGTGTTGTCACTAGTGACCCACAGTGCCCCGACTACCCAACAACATACAATACGCAGTACTTCATATCCCTTGACTTTGTTGTCATCACTACCAATTTCCCTCTCTTCCGTCTCCTCCTCCCGTACCACCAACTTACGGTGGTACCGTGGAATTCCATCGCCCAATACTGGCCCCGTACGCTGTGCAGAAACTGTAGACGGCGCAACCACCACCAAGCCCCTGGGACGGAGACGCCTAACCGCACCACACGACGACAGGTGCCACGTGGCGGTACCCGACGGTCCGACCTCCAGGGATCTCACCTCGAGCCCCTCCCGAACCGACGTTACCAAACGAACCGAATGGCCCTGGGTACACCGCACACACCGATGGTCGCCACCCGGCCCTAGCCTTATTACACCCGTGCCCCTAGAACCTTACCACAGGAGATCTCAGTTCTGGTCTGGGACTCCACCCCCACACTTTCCAAAAAATCCTTGGCACACCTCTTTTCGCACTTCCAGGCCCACATCCCACTCCGATCAGGAAGTCGCTCCGGGCGTGAGGTTTGAACGTCACAAGTTCATTGACTGAACCGACACTGATCCTCTCACAGCTGCAGGGATGACCCTGTTACCCTCACTGTTCCATCACCCTGTAAGGAGCCTGATCTTCCATGACGGGTTTCCCACCACACACCCTTGGACCTCCGTTTTATGCGGACACAATGGGTATAGTTCAAGTTCGCTACTCACCGGTTCTCTCATAGCACCTAACCAATAGCGTTCCCACCGCCTCTTGATACCCTCCCACTGCTCAGAATGGCGCCGCTATTAGTAATTCCCTTGGTTTCCCCCAGAACTGTAGTAAGGATTGCCTTGTTCTCACACTCATGAGCCGCTGTGGTGAGCTACCCTTTCACCCACACTGTCCCAACACCCTGTAAAGAGCCTGAGCTGCCATGAC